CACATGATTAACATGAAACAATTTGCAAGAATTCTTAGCTCAGGACAATGGGCACAGTGTTCTATCATTTGCACAGAAAGAAATTAAAACAAAAATGAAACACGGTATGTGCATAGACTATCTCAGGATGTTTACAGAAGAAAATGTTTAACAACAGTTGCTGCTGGAGAAAGGAACTGGGGTAAAGAAATATACTCAAGGGTATTTTACCTTCAAATCATGTCTTCAGTGTCACACTTCTACTGGTTTCTACTGTTACAAGGTCAGTGATGTTCCCTGTTCTAATAGGAAGACAAGAATGGGCACGGTCTGACATCATTACATATGGGTATTCCTTTCTTGGGTCAAGGATGTAATGATCTTCCAACCTGTTGTCAGACCAGATGTGATCATTCCTAAATCATCCCTTAGATATTGCCAAAGCCTCATTTGACAGACTGACCACTACTACTTGTGGTAAATACTTTTATCACTCTCCCTGAGGAGAGCTTTCTTTCAAAAGTCATGTCTCTGTGTTTGTCTTTTGTGTGAGACATGTCCAACAGAGCTGAAAAGAGCAGCTTTCTACCTTTCTGATTCTGTATAGTCTGGGATAAGCACTACTCATTTTCTTTTCAGTGTCTCATACAAATATTTCCCTGTAGCTACACACCTGGGACTTGTTAAAGTTTCTAAACATTCCACTATGTTCTTAGTTTCCTCAGATCTTAATTAACACCTAAAGTAATACACAGTCTTCTAGGTTGGGCTAGTAGCTTCTTTTTTTTATGTCAGTTACCCCAAAAGGTGAGGCTGATGAAGGATTAATAATGTACATGATACCCCACCCAAGTATTGCAACATTCCATGAAACAAATGAAGATGGAAACAAAGCAGGCAAAAAGCAGACAGGGCACACAAAAGCAGGAACTTACACCCAACTATCTTCATCTCTGCACCAGAAAGAAAGGGGCAAGAATGAGGGGACAGCACAGAGAGAGACAAGAACAATTAAGACAAACAGGAAAAGAGAGAAAAAAAAAAAAATCACTTGCAGGTCGGTGATGAAGCATGCACTTTTTATCAAGAGTCAAAGCAAAGGGCAGAGTGTATTTCTAAGCACAAGAGCAAGAATCAGAGGGTCCCCTAGAAGGATGCCATGCCTGTAGAGCTGCCTTCTAATGGGCAAGTTTGGAGCAACCCAGAGAGCAATATTTGTGTCAGGTCTGACTTAGGGAGGGACAAAGCCTCCCTAAGGCAGAGTCCTCTCTAGGACATGGTTCTCAAAAGGGGTCCCACACTAGCAAGATTACCATCATCTCAGAGCTTGTAAGGACTATAAATTGTTGGGTCCCACTCCAATCCTACTGTATTAGAAACTCTTGGGGGTGGGCCCAGCAGTTTGTTTCTGCAAGCCCTACAGGTGACTTGGATACATACTAATGCTGGAAAACTACTGCTTTGGGAAAAACCTAGCCCTCAGCCAGAGCATATTAACTCAAAATCAGGTTTCTTCTACCAAGACGAAGACCATTTAAAAAAACTCATATGAAACCTGTCCCATATTGCCCACAGTAAATGAAAAGCCTTAAAAATTCAAGACTTAGAAAACAAATTAAAACAAGTAATTCTCACTGAGCCATGACAGAACTCTGTACTCCTACTGACTCTGAGGAACAGGCTTTCCAGGAAAGCTAAGAATTCCAGAGGAATGTAGGAGGTGGTCCCGGCTCTGCTGGCTTGGGCACGGTCTGCAGGAGAGCATAGCCCCTTCTTGAGCAAAAGATTTTAAATCATTCCTTTCAGTTTATAGTCTTTTGGCCAGCAGTTCTCTTTAAAGTTTTATTTTAGTTACTTTACTGGAAACAATGTTAACTCCAACTTGTTCACCTGGAACACCTGTCCTACTCTAGTCTTTCCTGCTCATTTTCTTGAAAAAAAAAAATCTAGGAAAGGAGTTATTAGCTTTTGAACTGAACTAAGTGAGTTTGGAGAGAAGGAAGACATACCCTCAGGAATATGGTGACCAACCAATAAAGGCTGTGAATGCTTAGTTTCAAAATTAGGCATAAATTCCCGTATCTATTTTGTTCTTCTATAGTCTAGAATGTCATCTCCTGGGTTGGAGTGTGCCTTTTCTGGGACCTCCTGGGGCACCAGCAACAGCATTCTTGCCTCTTGCTTGCTACCACAGATCATGAGCAGAGCTGGATGGCTGTATAGTCAGGACCTCAGCTGTGGCAGAATAGCACATTTCCTGTTCATAGCAGTCACATGGTGTGTATGTACACACCCATGGAAAGCAATGGGAGACCATCAGAGAGACCATTTACAAGATGGTATGTTGGATACTGGTGTGGCTAGAGCCTGGTTGAACTCTGTAACTCAAAGCTCTAAGCTCTGTCAATATACTTTGAGAAAGCCCTATCTGGGCCATTCTGACAAAAAAGACCTCTATATATGAGTGCCTGGAAATTTCTATCAAATGCTGTTTTAAAATAAGAATCATAGTTTATGAGTAATAATACTTTTTCCATTTACTCTAATTTCTTTACTTAAGTGTTGAAATGCTCACAGTTACTGACATAATTCATTGCCTTGTTCATTTCTCGTATATATGTCCATGTGGCAAGAAGTTGCAACTTCTTGTAATTTGGTCACACCAGCACCGTAAGGACTGAAGGACTGCTACGGCCCAGATGCAATACTCCTACAAGGGAAAGATGGATCAGCTGCAGGTGGATGGATGGCCATGGGAGTCTCATCAAGGGAGTTCTGGCTACACGATTTCCCTAGATAGGGAACTGCAATGTAAAACATTCCTGCACACTGTTACTGTTGCACCAGTAATACATGCAGGCCAGCCCTATGACCAGGCCTGAGAATGGCAAACCCACTCTGATGAGATCTTGGAGTGCATTAAGAGGTCTGTCAATCAGTTGTTACCTCACAACCCTGGGAGTGGCCATCTGCAAAAAAGTCTTTCTTCAGGGGGAAGAAGAGTAGAGAGGGAGACAGATTATGCACAAAGGACTGCTTCCTGACTGTGAATCAATCCTTACTTTCAGTTCTAGCGCTTAGTACTCAAAGGCAGACAACCCTGGAAGCAGCATACATACAGGACTGTCGTGGACCTCCCACGATTGCCCTGTGTCTGAGCCCTGTGGGGGCGAATGATATGAATGGCCCCTTAGCTGCCCAGGGGGGAGGGAAAACTCCCTTAATGTCAGCCTGCATTACCAATGCCTGATACAGCTGATTTCCCCAGACATGTCTAGCATACCCAGAAGTCCTTTATAAGACTTTATGTCAATGATGCAAAGAGATGCAGGGTGCTGTACAAGAAGATTTCTTTCCATAGATGAGGGTTGGACAACATAACTCTTGAAATCAAACTTTGCTTAAGAATTTTTTTCACTGAGTTTTGTTCCTTTTTAGTCTCTCTTCACTTGGTTTTAATACTCTATGAAGGCTAAGAGGAAGGAAATGTCCAAATGTCCAAATCTTAACAAGTTCTTAAAAGAAAGGAAGGACTTTAAATATATCTCTTAGAATATATGATTCCATCTCATGAGCCTGGGTATCTAACTTAAAAACAAAATCATGAGATCAATTTTGGTAACCACTTCTTCTTTCTTCCATGACATTTCGTCAAGGACCCAGGACTATGCCTGGGCTCTTCTTGTCCTAATAACCAGGGCTGAGGAATGGTGTGAGGACATTGTGAAGGACATTGTTCTCCAACAGTCAGATGGAGGCCCTTCATAAGCATAAAGTCTCCCAAGCATTTAAAGAGAAACATGGAACTGATTCAGTGGCCTAGAATCCCACACAGATTCTTCTGTGTGCATGAGCAGGAGATGGGGGCTGTTCACAGCAGCTTGTTCTGCATTCACAGTGTCTATGGGTGGGGGATGCAGGTGACATAAAACAAGTCCAGGCATAGTGTGGGAAGTTGGAAGGCAGCTAGAATCCCTTACATGGGCCTTCTCTGTGCTTAGGCCACAGTCCCCTTTGGGTTTATGCTGACAAATATTTCCAGCAAGGGGATTTAGAACACCATGAAGAACTCCAAATAGCTGATATGTAGAATGGTGACAATCAGTTCAGTCTGGCCTGCCCTGGCTCTTTCAAACAGAAGCAAACAAGCTTTTACCAGGTCATTAAAACTCAATGGAAAAGGTAGGTCCTTTACTCCTATAATCCATTCAGAAAACCAGCTATTTGCCTGTTCTGATTTCCCTCTCTTTGTTCACATCTTCTCTGCTTATCAGAACACCTGCCCTCCATCTGAGTGATGCCTGTCCTTCCCTCACTCCCTATGGCTCCCGTGACTTTGACGGCTTGTTTTGATCTACTTTGGATGCTTTGCCTGTACCTGCCTGACTAGGAAATGTGAACCTGGGACTGACCTGCTAGAATAAAATGTGACGGTTGATGCATTCCCACTTTCTGCCCTGGCTCCATTGGGCATTAGATGGGAATAGAGAGCCAATTCCTGAGAAACTGTCTACGTAGTACTTACCTAGTGCCTAACTTATACCATTTGCCCTATTTGTTTTCTGATACATCAAAATATATCTGCTTTTCCTGCATGAATTGGATTCATCAATATTATAGGCACATATTTGGTATGTTCTTCGCCTTAAAGAGGAAGTTCTTATGAGTCAATTTTCTAACAAATGTAATGGAAGAGAAGAAAGTATAAGGCATCCTCCCCCCCTTCCCCCAGCCCTTCCTTGGTTCCTACCACTCAAGTCTCTACAGGAGACAACAAAGCCCATCTGCTGGATTGTCATGTTGCAGATGTCATGTTGGTGGATATGATGTGGTGGCTTCTGGAAAAGATGCCAACAAAGGAGCCACTGACTCCAGATTGTAGTCAGCAACCTTGTTTGGGAGAGGCTTTTAATGGCTGCAGGGCTCCTCCACATCACAGTTTACCATCTGCTCATGAGAGGAGCACCGGACTCCATCCTTCTAACCCGTCTCCCAACCCAGCCCCAAGAAGTGTGGCCTACCTGGCATGATGACATCAGGAAATCCCAGTTTTCTTGTAATTGCCAATCCCCTATTAAATATCATGGGATTTTCTCTCCTAATCTGTTCCATGTCTCCACGGAGAAGCTGCAGAGAAATGATAAGACCTGCAAAAATAAAAGTATTTTCTTACTCAGAACCACATTTCCACCCTGTTTCATAGTACTAGAAATGACATAAAGAGTCACACTTTTTTTCTGGAGGAAAATATGCAAAGTTCAGCATTTTTCTTGAGAAAAATTTTGATATAGAAATTATATGCTGTTCTGAAGAAACATTCTAGAAAGCTATTTAAGAAAAGATAACCTCAATAACCCAGAGAACTGGTTTATTAAATACAGACCGAGATCTGGGAGACTGAGTTGCCTTTTTCTCTGTTCCTCAGCCTCCAGCCCAGGGCCTGATTGGGCCCTAGCAAACACTCACTGAATGAGAGGGTTGAACTACATAAACCATACATTTAGGGACCCAGATAAATCTACGGGAACAATGGCAGACTAGAAACAAGTGTCACCAAAAGAGACCTTGTGTCAGGATGTCTCACCAGCTGAAAATGAATGAGCTAAGAGGTGCTATGCTTTATGCCAGGAGTAAGCTAAAATGTGGGAAGCAAGTTGTTGGTTCAATCTTACAATGGCTTGTAAAGAGAGCAGCAGAGCAGACCTCACATTCCCTGCAGGGAATCACTGCACTTCAAGGAAAAGAAGGGATGTTTTGTGGGGCTAACTGAGCTTTGCTTCAGACTATGAGTTTCATATTTTCCAGATGATCCCAAAGGCTTTGTTCAGAACATGGGAGAAACTGTAATGTGTCCCCAGGTGAGCTGGCTTCCACTTCATTACTTATATGTACCTTAGGAGTTTTGCATAAAGTAAGAATCTCCTGGAAATCATCCTCTCCCCTGCCCCCAAGGGTTACCACTGTAGCCAGTGGCTAGAACGCTGGAAGGTGAAGCCCAGATGGAGTTAGGAAGTGATTCTAAGACTCTGTGAATGAGATTAGCTGCTAATAGGATAATAAATTTAGGTGCTGATCTATGTGTCAGCAGGAAGCAATCTCATCAACTAAAAACCTGGAATTATGATAATTAGGACAACCAGAAAAGTGGTGGCTAGAATAGAGACAGTGACAAGAGTTGTAGGATAAGAATGATTTGGAAATGGAGAGGTAAGAAGGGATGCAGAAGTGGAGTAAGAGAGATGTCACATAGAACAGTCACAGGCACTGAATCTGTCAGATCAAAATATCCTAGAAACAAGGAACATGTACTCTCACAGCTTGGCTGGGGAGTCAACAGAGTTCCACTGCAACCCAGACAGACCTCAAGATGATCTCATTGCTTTGGCCAAATTCATGTACCCCAAAAACCCTAAGATTTCACATACGGTATCCTAGGTGTCATTAACACTGAGATCACAGTGCTCTGGAAAGCAGACATGGTATTCCAGTTTTTATTCTGGTTACTGTTTAGGGTTTTGAACACCCTATTTTTTTTTTTTTTTATAACCTAATCACTTGGTGGACTCAACTACAAATAACTTATGAGCCTGAAAGGCTGGGGGCCAGAATCCAGATCACAACAAACTCTTTAGAAGAGAGCAACTTGAGAGGTACTCACTCCCCCCTCCACAGCCCCAGATCATTTATCTGTGGTATCTTTACATGGCTATCAGATCTTATCCTCTGGCCGAACAGGGGCCCACTGACCTAGGAGACAGCCTAAACTGGAGCAGACTGCTAAAGATCAGACAATTTCCAGAACCTGAGACGGTGGTTAGAGGTGAAAGGAAAAGAAAATCAATAGGTGCATCCTTCTCACTTTACGTTGGCAAGGATTATTCAAGTGCCCACTGACTATCTTTCCTACCTTTCATCTAATTTTCTGAGCAACCAAATTGGCATAGAGATGTAAAGTGCACCTTGTGAGGATGCAGACTGAAGACATGGGGAGAGTCGCATCTAGCTTTTGAGCTATCCAAAAGAATTCTTAACAGCTGCTCTCTACCTCTAAGTGTGACAAGCAAGAGGAAGTAGGCTTCAGTTTATGCAACAGAACACATGAAAAGGCACATGAAGAATGAAAGAAACCAACAATGGAGGTTATAAAACTTCATCTGCTTTTGTAGGAATTGGGATTCTGGAACGTCTAAGTCCTCTTCCCGGTTCTGAAGCCCTGGGTGATCGAGGCACATGCCAAATAATGCTAAACTTAGTCTTCAAGAAAAAAAGAGCCTTGCAAGTAACTCAGAAAAGTGACCCGCTCACTTACCCAGTATGCAACCAGTCCTTTAGAACACTTGCTGATTTACCTACCAATCACCTGGCTCTCAAGCCAAAGAACTTAAAAGTAACTAATTCTATTACAATTTCTCCATTAACATGATCTCTGACACAAGAACTGTTTTCTTACTATATTTCATCTCAGATTAAAGACTGGATGGGGATTAATACTGTAAATTAATCCCAGCCCAAGAAACATATATGAAGTTGTATAAATCATTAAAAATACAAATCAGGCAATTAGAGAGGAAATTAAAAAATATATGGAAACAAATGAAAATGAAAACACAATTCAAAATCTATGGGATGCGGCTAAGGCAGTCCTAAGAGGAAAGTACATTGCTCTCCAGGCCTATTTCAAGAGATTAGAAAAAGCGCAAGTCCAAAATCTAACAGCTCACCTAAAGGAACTAGAGGCAGAGCAACAAGAACACCCTAAACCCAGTAGAAGAAGAGAAATAGTAAAAATTAGAGCAGAAATAAACAACATAGAGACCAAAGAAACAATTGAACAGATCAATGAAACCAAGAGTCGGTTTTTTGAAAAA